GACTCGACAGCACTTGAGAACAACAACTACGTATAATAATTTGTTTGAATTAGCATAAAAGGTTTGGTTAAATTATTTATCCTTTTCTTTTCCGTGTTGACATTATTTTTAGAACATTGCAGACAAACTGTAGAGAATGAGGTGGACAAGGCAAGAATGGAAGAAGAAAGATGAGTGTGAAGTATGATAGAGGTTGAGTTTCAGGGTGGTGATAGAAGCAGTGATGAGAATATTAGAAGTACTGGAGGGTTGTAATTTGATAAACTCATCTTTACTACTGCATCAAGACATTCTTAAGGGAACTGATATCTTTTTTTAAACTGCATTTATATGGGGGAAAGAACACGACTACTGATCCTGTGGAGTCCTGGTGTGGTGCTATGAGTTAATGCACTCAGCTGCAAAGTCAGTTTGAACCGTAGGTTGGCAATTCAAGCTCAGCAGCTGCTCCTAGAAACTCTATAAAGGGTCACTATGGGTCGGAACCAACTTAACAGCACTTAACAACACTGATCATCTAGTGTGATAATACTGCCATAATTCTTGCCATTAGGCAGGTAGTCTGTGTATGTGTATGTGTGTGTGTGGGGGGGTACTAGTAATACATACGAAGAGAGTTTATAATGTTTGTGGATAAATGACTTTTTCTTTCAATTCCATTTATCCACAGACTTTTGGAAGTCTCCTTACATATAACAAAACACTTGGAATTTCAGCATTTTTTTACACTTATAAGGGGGCTTCAAAAAGTTCATGGAAAAATTCAGTTATCTTTTCATTGCATTTTCTACAGGCTCTGTGTAGCCCCCTCATACAATTCAGTGGCATTAACTACTTTTAGCATCTTGTGCAACTATCATCATTGTATGCTTTCACATTTTTCTATTGCCCATGGCAGGAATTCAGTTCCCTGAGGAATAACTCCCTTATACCCTTCCTTTCCATCTCTGATAATAAAATGTGTTCTCTATACCTTTGACTACTATAGATATTTCATATAAATGGGGTCATACACTGTGTGTCCTTTTGTGATGGACTTATTTCACTCAGCGTAATGTTTTCAAAGTTTATCCATGTTGAAGCATGTATCAAGATTTCATCTCCCTTTATGGCTAATAGTATATATATATATATATCGCATTTCATTTATTCACTCATTCATTGATGGACAGTTATTTTCTACCTTTTGTCTGTTGTGAACAGTACTGCCATGAATATTGGTATACAATCTCTGGGTTTTGGGTTTTAACTTCCTTTGGATATTTACTTAGAAGCAAAACACCAGCAATTTTATTTGCAGTTACTTTCACATCATCATTACAAATGCCAGCACAATGAAGTTACACTAAATTTTCAATGTACTTTTTGGTAACCTAGCTTTACCCTCTTCCCATTTGACTGCAGATCCTAATTATCTCATGGCTAACGAACGCATGAACCTGATGAACATGGCCAAGCTGAGTATCAAGGGCTTGATTGAATCAGCTCTCAACTTGGGGAGGACTCTGGACTCTGATTATGCACCTCTCCAACAGTTCTTTGTGGTGATGGAGCATTGCTTGAAACATGGCTTAAAAGGTAGGCTGTGGCCCCCAAACACAAACATTCACGCAGCTGCTTCCTAGCAATATGTGTTCAAAAAGAAAGTTGTTTGGGAGTCAAAGACTAAGAGGGTTGAATTAATAATATTAATCCACTGGGATGTAATCTATATGGGGGCAGGATATTTGTGTTTTTCTTCACCATTTGATAACTGCTCCTTCTACAGCATGTGCTTAGTAAATATTTGTTGAATGTATGAGTAAGTGCTGAATATATGAGTCAAATGACTCAGTTAAAATATTTTGTGGATACTTCTGTGGATACCTGTTGATATATAATTCAAATAACTTAGTTAAAATATGGACTCCCGGTGTAGCACTGTGAATTAATGTGTTGTATTGCAAAGGCAGTTTGAACCTCAAGGTCAGCAGTTCAGGCTCACCAACCACGCCTCGGAAACCCTATACAGGGTCACTATGGGTCGGAATAGACTCAATGGCACTTAACAACAACAACAAGCTAAAATATGCTCATCTTCACTGAGGGTACAGAAGACTTTCTACATTATACTTTATTGTTTTGCTTTTGTTATTCAAAAAATTTTTTTTCTTCAAAACATGTCCCCAACTTATTACAGGGTTCCATTCTAACAACTCCATTTGTGGCAGTTCTGACCAAGTCAAATACTTTTTTTAAAAGAAACTTTTCATTGTTATTGCCTTTTATTACAGTATCTTCATAAATCTAGTCTTTGAATGCCTGCCAGTAAACATCTTGACCATCTGAGAATAACATCTTAGTTACATACCATTAAGTTGGTTCCAACTCATAGTAATCTTGTATATGGGGATCTGGTGTAGTGTTGTAGGATAAACATGGCACTGCTAACCTCACAGTTGACAGTTCAAACCCTCCAGACACTCCTTAGAAACCCTATACTGAGTCACTATGAGTTGGAGCTGACTCAACAGCACTTAACAACAATAGCAGTAGTGTTTCCTAGGCTTTAAATCTTTGTAGGAGCAGAAAGCTCCTACATCTTTCTCCAGTGGAATAGATGGTGGGCTCGAATAGCAGACCTTGTGGTCCATAATCCAGTGCTTATTGTATGGAGCTGCCGCACTCCCATTATTAACAATAAGATATACCAAAAAGAAGATTCCAGATAATAATAGTTAAGTGTGGTTTGTCGTAACTCAGATATAAGTCAGGGAGTACTTGTAATTTTTGGAGTCCTGGTGTGACACTGTGGGTTAATATGCTGGACGGCATAGTCGTGTGAACCGCAAGGTTTGCAGTTCAGTGAAATAGCCTATAATGTAAATAAGGAGTTGTTGTTGTAAAGTACTGTTGAGTCAGTTCAACTCATAGTGACCCTATAAGGGTTTCCAAGGAGCTACTAGAAAGATCGTAGAAGAATTGATGCCTTTGAGTTGTGGTGTTGGAGGAGAATACTGAAAGTGCCATGGACTGCCAAAAGAACCAATAGATCTGTTTTGAAAGAAGTGCAACCA